GTGCTTGGTAAGTTAAGATAAGATAAACCTTTATTAGTCCCACACGTGGGAAATATTTGGGTCATGTAAGAAAGTACAAGTTTAAGAGTAGAAAAAACCCCCACAATAGGTTAGATTATTATTATTATTAGTAGTAGTAGTAGTATTTCCAGTTTGGTCTAATTTTATATAAATGTCAACTTGTTTGTAAACTGTAAGAGGTTTGACAGTAACTGTGACTTACACTGTCAGGAATGCTCACTTTACTCCGCTGTTTCCTTTTCCTCCTCAGGGCGGCCTCTCATTGTCGTTCCAGCAGTCGTGGCCACAGTTGGGGAAGAGGTTGTTTTGCCGTGCCACATTAAACCAGAAATGAATGCTAATGGCATGAGGCTGGAGTGGGCGAGACCTGACCTAACGCCCGGGTTTGTTTACGAGTGGGCAGACGAAAAAGAACACGTGGTGAACAAACAGCCGTCGTACAGAGGAAGGACATCAGTGGTTAAGGAAAAACTGGAACATGGAGACATTTCACTGAAAATCTCAAACGTGACCGTCTCTGACGAGGGAATATACAGATGCCTTGTTCCACAAGTGGGACAAGAGGCCTTCATTAAACTCATTGTTGGTAAGTAAATGCACGTTATATTATTTTTTATGTCCTTTCTTTATGTATTAATGTGTTTTAAAGTACTTTGAGTGCTCAATTTGAGTTGAAAAATCTCATGTAACTGAAAGAAAAGAATGGAGACACTGGCTTCTTGTTCTCATGGAAACATTACAAACTACTTCAGATCAAGTTGTCCTTTAGTGTCATGGGACTGGATCCCTGCATGGAGTAGAAGGATTTTTCAGCCTTTGAGGGAAGAACGCTTGGGATCCTCTTGTTAATATGTATGGCATGACTCAGGATATGTCATTAACTTCGAGAGGTCTAATTCTCCACTGATGACCTCAACCAGATCTCAAACCCAAACCATAAGTTTTGTCAAAAAAAGCAAAAATTAAAATAAGACTTTTTTTTTTCTGTGCTTTCTGTGCGGCTTAAGAGGTTAATTTATTTATTGCCCCCTTAACGACAAATGAATACATTTATGTTCAGCATGCTGTTGCAGTGATACCTCACAGTAGTGTTTTGGGTATTAGCTCTGATGGGTTTGACTGGTGTTTTCAGTGTGGCGTTTACATGTTTTTCCCACAACTGTGTGGGTTCTCTCCCAGTACCCCCACCTCCTCCCACAGTCCAAAGACATGCAGTTAGTGGGGTCAGGTTAACTGGCAGTTCAAAATTGTCTGTAGGCGTGAATGCTTTTTGACTTTATGTGTTAACCTTTCCACAGATTAGCAAACCATCCAGGGTGTACTGTGTCAAAATGCAATAATATTTTCTTCAAAATGTAACACTATGATAGTAATTTGCTTTCATAATAACTAACTTGTATAATTAACTTAAGTGTATATGTGTCTCTTTGGTTATTCTAGCAAAGTTGTTCCATCGATTCATTTTCTTCAGCTTTTCCTGTTCACTTTTCTAAATTAATGGTCACACTGATACCTTTTACAAACATAATCAACCAATAACAACAATGTTGGCGCTGTGAATTTAAAGTATTTCTCCTGGTCTTGGTTTTCTTTTCTTTTTTTAGGTGCTGTCTCCTTTCCTAAAGTCACTGTAATAAGTAAAACCAGCAG